AATTCCAAAAATTAAGCACCCAAACTAACTTTCTTGGGAGTTCATCTTAAAGGTTATAAGCAAACGAAAGCATCTGAGGTTAGCACAGAGGAGTCCACAAGCCTTAAAAAATAAAGAGAAATAAATCTAATCGCGTCTTTCTAAACATTCCTAAATTACTTACATATTTTGGGTGGAGGGTTCAAATCAGTAATTCTAGGTACAATCTGATGATTTCTCAGACCTGGCTTAAAGCATAGTCATAGCCCTAACTTTGCTCTGTGCCACCCCCCCTCCGGAGAACAACCGCAGACACCAAGGGAAAGCTTCCTTCCCAATTGTAAACAGTTCTAGTCTTCCCATTGTCTCTTTTGGTCAGGTGCCCTTTTCTTTACCTGGGGGACTTTTTTAACCTTTTACAGGTAAAGCAAGCAGAGAACAGCTACCTAGAGGGATTTGAGACGTGTCTGTGCTAGTCTGTCTGTAGTTCAGTGGTGAGGGTGTCAATTTGATGTTTACTGACAAGGACATAACAAGCTTTATCATACGTGATGGTGAGAAACCTGTTGTTACTTCCTCGGATGGGGATGCAGATAAACAGAAGTCCCCCACAAACAGTTGTTCTACAATGTCTGTGTATAGACCCAAGAATTTGAATTCTCCCACACACTGGTGATGTTTGCTGAGAACATTTTTGACAACACAATTGGGGACCAAACCCAAAAATATTAGCTAGCTCCTTTCATGAGCAACATTAGAGGCTGTAATTCTATATGTTCTTCATTTGTGATTTGATCTACTTTCTACTTTTGGTGTGAGTCGTTTTTGAATTTCAAGTAATTGGAGATCTCCTGGTTAAGCCAGGACGGCCTCTTACCACACTTCTGTCTTTCCTATGCATTGCAATATTTGCTCTTGCATCCTTGATTATGTCAGACCAATGGTGGTCAGAAATTAACCTCTTCCACTGGATCACACGACAAAATTCAGAAATGGGGCTGTAAACAGAATGTCTAATCATAGATTTAACTAAGTAGAGGCTACCTCGTTCCATGGTTGTGCTGGTTCCCACTCCCAGGCTGACATTCCATATGGTGAAACACCTCTTCTGTCACCCTAGTCTAATGGTTAGCGCACAGCACTCACAGTCAGATGGTAATTAAAAGGCACATTAGAAATGTAGATAGATTCCGACTCCCGCACCCTTCCCTTAATGAGGAGTTGGTAATCTCTCCCTTCCCCAGATGTACAGAACTTCTCAAACCCCACACTGAATAGAGCAAATTGGCATTAGGAGGTGTCATAACTATAAAGGGAAGGGTAACACCTGTCCTGTCTGCAGTACTATAAAATCCCTCCTGGCCAGAGACTCCAAAATCCTTTTCCCTGTAAAGGGTTAAGAAGCTCAGGTAACCTGACTGGCATCTGACCAAAGGACCAATAAGGGGACAAGATACTTTCAAATCTTGGGGGGGCGGGGAAGGCTTTTGTTTGTGCTCTTTGTTTTGGGAGGGCGTTTGCTCTCGGGACTGAGAAGCACCAGACATCAATCCAGGTTCTCCACATCTTTCTAAACAAGTCTCT